CTCTCAGGTAAACAGTCTACATTACCATAATGAGCTTTGATGCTCAAGTTCCTACTTTTTAATGAGAATTCTTTCCAAGACTAATAAAAAATTATACGCTTTGGAAAGAAATAACCAAAGAATTCCCAGCAGAGAATCCAGTGTGGTTATAGCTTGGCGGTTGTGCCTCGGGTACCTTTTGAAGGTTTATTCTGGGTGCTGCGTAGACAAGTAATGGAAATCACCTCAGAAATTGGCATTGTCTACACTCTGTCTGCCAGAAAGGATGTGACATATGGTAGGGACAGATAAATGAGCTTGACGTGGATTGGGAGGAGAAGGAAGTTATAATAAAATAAACTATAATTTAGCTGAAGAGCAGAGGTTTTTGCTTTTGCAATTCCCTGATCCTGGGTCACCACAGCTGGAGGAAGTTTCTTGACAGCCCTTTTTTTTTTTTTTGGTTGAGAGGAGACACGAAGGACTTGTTCTCAGGACTTCCTGTCAAGAGGAGCTGGCTGCAAGAGCTGAAACATATTAGAGTAATAAACATATTTCACACAGCCAGGACTTGCAAATGGAAGCACTACTGCTGCAGCCCAGGGAATTCCTTGATGTGGAAGAAAACCTTCTTTGTCCAGGGGCCTCTCATGACTCTGTGCAGCGGCAGAGTCCTCACTAGAAGTACTGACATTGTTGCCAGTATGCAGTGAGCATGGGAAGGGTCATGTTCAAAGGGAAAGCAAGGAGAAAATGTCATTTGCAGAAAACACTTACAACGCAACCCCTGTCCCCAGGGCAAAAGACAAAAGAAGGGACAGTTTTATGACTAGCTCACTGCACAAGTCCTTAAACAAAAAAAGGTTCCCATCTAGCTTACATTCAGGTGAGGTACTCTTCTACAAAGACAGTTCAGTTGTCTTGTGTAGTAGAAACAACCCTGCTGTGAGCATCCTTTCTCAGATATCACTATAGACAACATTCATCACTACTCAGAGCACGCTCAAAGCTTTAGTACCTTTTAAAGGTCAGGCAGGCCCCTGACATAAGTCTTTTTGGACTGAAGGAGTATCTCATCCAAGCCATACAGGTCTGCATGGGGTGAATCATACACCTCAAGATGATTTTGGTGACAGCACTTGAACTGACTGAAACTACTGGTAACTATATTTTTCTAATCGGCAGTAGATGTTTCTTTTGGGCATGTTTTCTTCTCAGAAAAAAAAATGGGTCTTCTCCAAAAACTGGCATCTGCAAACAGCTCTTTACATCCCTGAGACCTCGTAGCACAGTCAATATATGAAAAGGCAAATGGATTTTGGAAAGCAGTCCTTGCACTCTGAGCTATAGCCAGCCATTGCTGTGAAAAGTAACCAGTAACACTAAAGCCCGCTGTACACAGCTGTGTCAGAGGGTCTAGCAGAAATCTGAATCACTGAATGGATTAAGCAGATCATTCTTCCTTCACCTCATAAGCCTAGCAGAACATGCCTTTTTTTCTTTGCGTGGCACCCGGAGACTGAGGCCACTGTGCTACTGTAATAAATATTCATCTGCTTATTTGGAAGCATGCATGGGACATAATACTGAAGAGACACAATTAAGAAACAGGGGAGAAACACTGCAAAGCTGAATTTTTTTTTTTTTGGTAGTAACTTTCTGTCCCTCTCAAGGACTCACCTCTACAGCAAGAAAGCCAGGTTCTCAGGGTGCTTGCTAAGAAGACAACCATTCACTGCTGGAACTTGCAGCACAAACAGAGAAAGGAAGCATTGGGTCACGTCTTCACTTCTCCTGGTGGCTTACTCAATTCTGTTCGCTGTGCAGTGATGTTAAGGCTCAGGTGAGCCGAGAGTTTAAGCGGTTCTGAACAAAGACACATGTATGTCTAGCTGTGCCACTGGCCACATACTGCACTTGAGAATGCACATACACAATTTTAATTCTGTTGACTGGCTGTGCAGGCCTCCCAGGTAAAAAAAAGAGAGTGTGAGGGAAGTTTTAAAGAACTGATTTCTCTATTGCTTTACTTTCCTCAAACAAACAACTTCCTCCTTTCTTTTCTTTAGCTAAGGATTGCTGTGCCTTGGTATCAGCTGAGGAGATCTATCTAACTCCCTGCTTCTGTCTCCTGCTCTGTACTAAAAAGGGATTCAGTGGCGGCAGAGCAACTTTGCATGTCACCAAGATTAACTAGAAAATAACCAGATCATGTGTGGAAAGCTCAGATGACCCTGCATTCCACTAACAGAGTATTTAATGAGACTGACATTGGGTAGAAGTTGCTCCACCTGAGGAAGAGAGCATCTTAGCCTCTTGCCGTGTGGTGTAGCACAACTGTTAAATGACTTCTGAGTGAAAAACATGGGACTCGATCCCATAGGAATTATGTTCAAGGAGCTCACACAATTTTCAGCTGGCTGTGTGTCAATGGCTGAATTCCACACGACACAGAATATACTGAGTGGTAAAAAATGGTGGAAATAAATCAAATAATAGGTGTAAATCGCGCTTTCTATCTTTTTCTCACACACTTCTTTTTTTCAGCAGCATTTCAATGCAGCAGAGCTTAGGGCCTCAGCTAGTCACACTATAAACATAAGCTCATTCAACTTTTAGCAACAGCTACATCAACTAAATCAACCTTCAATTCTTTCATTTAAAGCAGTGCATATATTCAGTAGATTATTTAGTCATAATTTATGTCTGTTCAAACAAGTTCAGTGATGTACTAGTGCAAAGCATTTGATAAAAGTGAGCATGCCTTTGGCAGAGGTCTATACATATAAATTTTTAAAAGGAAGGAAGTGGTTTTGTCACGGCATCTTTTCCCCAAAGTAGATAATTTCAGGAACATTGTAACATTGGTAAACAAACCTCTCCAACCATGTCTGTGTTTCTCCAAACTGACAGGCTCTGGGAGGGCTTAAGCAGAGAGATGCGTGTCTCCTGCCTGTCTCCCGATCTACACGACTGCCTTGTGTGCAGCAGCGGGCGGCTGCAGCTTGCCTGTCTGGATATGCTGGACAGCATGCTCCTGTTCACGCAGGCTTGCTATTTGCCCGGCAAAAATCATCTCCTGTTGCGTGCAGCCTCAGGACAGCTTCTGCTAGCCATTAATTATCACTGTGGCTTGTGCTCGGCTAAGTCAAATGAAGACTTTTGCCTTTTCGATATTCTGCTGAAGACCAGATTGACAAGAATGAGGCAAGGAGCTGAGGCACAGAGAAAGGCTACAGCAAGTTTACCAACAGGCAGGCAGACGCCTAGGTTTGGATCTTGGCTTGCTTGCTACTTTCAGTAACTTCTGCTGCAGTCCTCTCTGCTCCTGACTGTTCGCTTCTGTCTTTGCTGATCATTGCTGGCCCACTGAGACCTTGTCTCAATTTGCAGTCTTTGGTCATCTCAAATAACAAAAATAAAATTTATTTAAACCTGGTAATATAGAATCTTCCTCAGTTTACACTACACCAGCTACTGATTTGCTTTTTTCTCTTCCCCTCTGCCTGAAATCTCAGGGCGTGACAATCGAAGGACATGGCTTTCTCCACATAGGAGGTCATGGACTTCCATTCCAGATGCAGACTAGTGATAAACACAGTTGTCTCCCTCTGGAAGCAAAATACATCATACATTACCAAGGCCCATTTGTCCTTGTTATTTTAATCCTATAGTAAAGACAGGGGCCTTAGTCTTAAATACAATATCATTTACCAATTAACTTTTTTTTTTTTGGCACTGAAAGTGACACCAAGAGGAGTAGAATATAAAGCCTTCTTACCTGCACTTCTGTAGAAGATGATGCAAACCCTCCTTAGCCTGGTTCCACATGCACAGAGAGAGCCAACTGATAGACAAAAAAAACTACTACCATTGCAACTGTTATTAATATCCTCATTAGTAGACCTTGAAGTGGAATGATCTTTGAAATGGAGCAATCCTGGCAGTGACAAAGCTGAACCTGACACCAGAACTTCAGGTATAAACCACCTTTGCACCACCCGTGTTGGTGGAACAAAGTGTCCCACTTTCTGCTGATCTTCCCAGGCTCCTCAGCTACTACTCAGAGTGCCAGGTAGGCTGGAGCTTCAGCCTCCTACCTTCCTCCTTTTCTCACCATCCTCAAGGCCAGCAGCAATGGACATTTCAGCATAGGTGCAGTTGAAAAAACCTGTCACCTACTTCCTCATCCCATTCCTCCATCTTCTAAAGACTTTTTTGGTCTTTCCAGATTGAGCTGAACGGGAGTTAGAAGCTCACCAATGCATATATCACTGGGCAAAGAGAAGGAAAAGGAAAGTGTGCAGGCAACCACAGAAAACATGTTTAGGGCTTAAAGAGACAGGCACTTCCCTGGTAGGTAAAAAAGGAGCACCCAGTGATTTCCAACCTGTGAATAAAGCTCTTAGGCGGGGAGGAGAGTTACTGGACCCTTTCATCCCACCCTTGCCTTTGCCAGAGAAACAGTTTTCATGGGAAGAAATGCACATGGCAACAAGAGAGCCGCTGAGGGAAGCAGCCATGGGGAATGCGCCAAATAGCTTTCTTGTTCCCTGTGAGATATGGCTGAGGAGGCAATTTACTTTCCAGTTTCCTTTCAAGATGAAGTATGGCTTGCACTACCACTGCTTAGGCTGTACTTATTCCGTAAATAAAGATTTTCTGTCTTCCATGTGGCAAAAGTCACTCTTTAAAATAAGCCTCAGAACCAGAGGCAATGTTCTTTTAGCAGGTGCACTGCTGAGAGCCTGGACAACACATACCCATCAGCACTAAATATTCAGTCTTGGTGTGAGAAAAACTTTCTCCTGCATTTCACCTCAAAGCACATGGGTGGTTGTGCTGCTGATGGGCCAACAGAGCTTACTTGTCTCTCTGATTCTTTCCTTCCATTTGGTGAAGATACAGAGGCAGAGGACTTTGCCGCAAAGCCTTTCTGCTCCCACTGTTCTCAGCACAGAGCCACAGCCTTGGGAAGCCTCTGCAGAAAGGTGTCACAAGAACACAGAGTCACCCAGCTCTTTTCTTTCTTTATTTTTTTATTGAAAGCTTCATCAAAGAAAACAGAAGTTTAAACCTAACATCCACTGATCTACAGAAAGCCCCAGGAGTGGGAAAATGGCAGCTATTTAGGATTGTGTTACAAATGGAAAACATAAAAAAAAAAAAATCATAGCAGTACAGATCTTTCAAAGACATTCTGAGACATCAGCACACAGATGCCCATATAAATAAGATTCATAATTTAATGTATCGCAGAGGTTCTGTGTTCTACATTTTGGCTACAGTGAGGTCTGTAAGGGTTTTTAAGAACCTCTGCCCCATTTTTGTGATGCATGTTTTCTTGATAGGAAGTTCATCTGCTTTCAAAGCTGTTTTGATTTTTCATACAGATAGAATCTGTTCATTCTCCTTTAAAAAGCAGAACAACTAAAAATTCCTAAATGAATTCTGTTCACTTCCTGGTTTTACATAAAATTGTTTTGCCTCTAAAAGATAGTAGAATTTTCTTCCACTCTGTAATACAGCATATTTAATAATACTTTAATTACATAAACATCATGTTCTCTTCTCTAGGCTGTATTTTTGGGCTTTTAAAAATATAACTGACTGTAAATTTCACCAAATTCATAAAATTATTATCCAAGAGAAAGACACTTAAAGGCAGAAAATTAATGTTGGGCAGATACTCTCTTAAGGACAACAGATCCAGATCTTGGAAGGTGCTTACACCTTGCAGGCTTTCGACCTGCAAGGAAAAATGGATTTGTGAACCTGTCAAAGGCTGACATTTTTCACTTCATTATGCATTTTTATTAAGGTAAAGGAACTCAGCTGTCACTGTTGGGGAATTAACAACTGAACTGAACAACTGAAATAAACACAAGAATTTTTTCTTATCATGGAAAACTGAACCAACACTGGGATTCATTTCTTTTACAGCTTTACTCTCATAATTTTCTGTTCAATATTAACAAAGAGCATGTTAATAAAGGGGAGAAGAAAGGGTCTCTTCTGCCTGCTTTGAGGCACAAAGGTGAATAAATCTCTGGAGTACATACAGCGCTCTAGCCTATCTGGGGGACAGGAGCAATATAGAAAAACTCGGTGCTCTTTTTGAGAAGAAAATAACTCTCCTTACACTGCATCTTTGCTGCTTCTGAGATTCTAGAAATCTGCTCCACTGAAGGGGAGAAGTCTGCTGCTCACTCAGCCCTCCTTCTGAGAAAGTGTGTGTGCATGACTGAGTGTATGCGTATTAGAAATGAAAGGAGTCTTTGTTACTGGAGTCAATTGTCATTAAACAGAATAGACTAATGCATCAAACTTCAGCATTTTTGTTGTTTTCTGTTTTGCGTTTCCATCACACCGTGACTGTTTTCTTAGTTCATGTGGGCTACCGAGAAAGACCAGGAAAATCCCTTACCCTAGGGCACTTCGTTTATATCCAGACCAATTTCATGTTAAATAAAGTTTTGAAAGGAAATGTTGACCATGCGTGTATCAAACATTACTATCTTCAACTACCACATTTGGTCTCATCACTAAAAATGGATTGATTCATTACTTTAAGCACATTATCACTCTTTAGCATGACTCTGCTATAGGTGGAGTTAAGCAAGTCTGCCTAAACCTGTTTTGCTCATGTCAACCTCAGCATTAAAATGAAGTGGCATGAGGAGCACCATCAAGCTTAAAATCATGAAGTGTGGCAATTCGTTAAACACTTAGTATCAGTCCCATCCTTCAGTACCATAAACAACATAATATAGATCCAAATACTATGACATATTAAAAATAAACTTTATTACAATGCAGGCTTCCTCAAATTTGCTGAGTTTTGGTACACATACATACATAAATAATACCCTTCATTTGATTTTTACTTGTGTAAAAATCCATTCGAATGCTACAGCCCAATTGCCCACTTAAAGTTTAAGCCCTCACTTCTCTAATGACCAGCCTTTATCTTCCACATTTGGGCATGCATCCATAGCAGAAGATGATACAGTGTGATGCAGTTGCTCTCAAATATGCCTCATTCTGCATTACAGTGGATTTCTTGACCAACACAACCAAGGCAGTCTCTTGGTAAACAGAACTATACAGGTTAGCACAGGCTAAGGACATTTCAAGAATCTGTTTCACTGGAAGGCAATAAGAGGACATTCACAATTTGAGGCCTGACTGTCACAGGTGAAAAGTGCTTACAAAACCAGCAGTAGAGCCAGATAGGAAGAAGAGTCCCTCTGCAATCTCAGTGGGAACAGTAAGATTTTTCAGTGCCCTGATCTACACTTGGGTCAGCACCTGCGAGTATAATACTCTCTTCAGTTCCAATGTCTTTTTTTTTTTTTTCCTCAATGTTCAATGACAAGCCCAGGTATTCAGAAATTTCTAGCCATAATTCATAATTTTCTGACACCCCTTCTGTGTTTAACTTATAAGGTAAAAACAAAATTACCAAACCCAAACATCCAGATTTGATTATTTACAAGAATTGAGGTGTGATGGAAAGTACATATGCAGTTCAGCTTATGGATTGATGTTACTTCTAGACCTCTGGGCCAGGCACCATTGCTTTAGACATCTAGAGTTGTTTCTGCAATCTTTCAGGAACTCTCCTGATATTTAAAGCTAAGTTGGCAAGACAGACATAGATAGTGACTTTACAAACTCAGGTCTTAAAAAAAAAAAAAGAAAAAAAGAAAAACAGAACCTTTACCAGATAATAACAATCAACCTTGAAAAAAATCATATTAGCCAGAACATAAAGAAAACCAGTTCTAGATTTCAGAGGCCACCAAATATTCCTCTCCTATGACAACATCCATGCAGCATGTTGCTATTTCACTGTTCACTTTTATCTCATTTTTAACTTTTAGAAATAAGTTACCACCTTCTGAGCATTTTTTATGTTCTAATTAAGCTTTTTTCTTACCTTATGATCTATGACTGTTTATACTCAAGGCTCACAGTGTTTATAATTCATAGACTTTCAGACCACTTCACTGTTTTTTTTTGGGATCAGTAACAAGATGAATTGCATTTAAGGGATCCATTTTCTTTCCTCTTCTTCTTCCTCTGCTTCTTTGCTTGTTTCTTTTGATTTCAAACACCATTGAACATTATAGCATGGAAAAAAAGGGGAACAATTCTAATACAGAATGCACTTGAAACACTTTAAAAGTGACAGGCACTATGATATCATGTTGCCTGTCTGGCTTAATAAAAAACACTGAGATTGTTTAACTTCACTGAAAAAAATAAGAAAAATGTTTCTGAATGTATAAATAAAGCAGCAGAGTTCTGAATAGAAACAAGAAGGTACCTCAGCATATTCATCAGCCACATGGTAGCTACCTTGTAGCCTCATTGTTGATAGTAAATGAGACTTTTTTTGTGTCACATTAGAACTAACACAGAAATAAATGTGTTTATTTCATATATAACTGACTTGTGCCGGGGATTATCTCCACTTGTACAAATAACTCGGAGAGAGACAGAAAGAGAGTACGTGTAGAAAGGAAGAAAATAAGGCTAGATCGATTTTTTCCCTCCTACGCCCTCCAAAGAAAGAGGGAACCTTTATCCAAGGACAAAATTCAAGTGCCACTATTAAAAAGCAACAAGTAATGAGACAGCATATGAAACAGAAAGAGAGGGTTTTTTTTTTTCTGAATTGAAAACATGTTGTGGATGATGTTGTTGTTTTACTTTGGCATCATCTGGTTTTCAGAAGTGCTGAATATCAACTACTATTCTGGAGAAAGCAGTTTTACTACTTCTGAAAATCAGGCCCTCTTCCTATGCTGAACTCCCATTTCTCTCTTTTCTATGTTGCATATCTAGCAGCATTTATTTGGGAAACCCCCTCCCCCCTCCTCCTATGTTAAAAAATACGATCTTCTTTTATCAATTTAAAAAAATAATTGTGTTCTTTTCCCCAAAAAATTCAGGTTGGGGAAACACAGACCTCTTTTTAGGATTGGGCAGCTGAATCAGATTGATCCAATACATATGTTTTAATTTCATTATTTTTAATGGATACCCTGTGTCTAATCCACCACAAGAAACGTGATGAACCCTCCCCTCTCTTCTGGATGGAGGAAAGTTTAAAAATGTTTGGTTTAATTTTGACACATAGATATGTGTGCATGTATGTATATACTGAAATGCTGCTTCTCTTCTGCCTCCTTAAGGAAAAAAATCATCTTTTGACTTGCTTCTCACCTTTTCCATTTGTTTGTTTGGAGAAACTAAGGACCATAATCAAGATTACTCTACGGAAAATAACAGTCATTCGTAAAACAGGTTTTGGTGGATTAAATTTAGTGTCTTTTTTTTGTTTTTAGGCCTAATCATACTAATTAGTGATTGTCAGCCAACATATTAAGACAACAGAAATCATAGCAGAGAAGAATAAATTTTAACTCTTGCCTGCATGACAATACTACGTCGTTTCCAAAATGTCTGCTTGTATGGGAGAGCTAAAATGAGAAGAAAGATCAAGTTTGCTTTCTCCTGCATCTACCTGGCAACTCAAATGCAACACTGAAAAATAAATGCAGAATTAAGGTGGCTATGCATGCTGGACGATGACAAAGACTGAGGTGAAGAAATGAATCTGCGGTATGTCGGAATTCAGAAGGAAGACTGTTGTTTCAGTAGAAATACCAAAGATCAGGCAATTAAAGATAAAACCTCATCAAAATTAAAGCCCGCCTGGACAGATTAGTTGGTAACCCAATCCCCTTGCTTTGGGATAGTCTCCAAAGCACATCATCAAAAAGCTTCTAATACCAACTACTCTGAAATTTCCACTATAAACATATGCAGTATGTAAAACACCAGTGGAAGATAGTTTAAACAAACGAGAAAGTAAGAACTGGTCCGGCCATGTAGGTCAAATAAAGATAAAAAAAGAAAAAACCCTCTATCTTCTGGACTGCGTTAGGGTGTCACTTCATCTTTGGTATAAAATAGGCCATCCATAGGCTGCATTTGTTCACAACTAGGAAAGACTACAGAAATTGTCAACAATTTCTTCTATCTATTGCTTTTTTTGCACTTTTTTTGACCATAAGCTCCTATCTACTTAAGTTTTTTTTAATGCTCTTAAGCTAGGTTTTTGCAATGTGACAAGCAAAGCAGACTAAAAACTTCTTAAAGCTCATAAAAAAGACTGCAGATAAAAAGCACTAATGCTTTTGCTAGCGATCACGCTTTGTAAATAAAAAAATCTGCATTCTGCAAGAAAAAAACCCTGCATTCTCTATAATGCAGCAAGTTTTTTTCTCAATTCAATAACTTTACTGTAAAATGCTTTAGCCTTCTAGAATTCTTTTTTCTGTCAACAATTAAGACAAAGTTCATAAAAGTCCCAGCATTTTTCCAATCCTTTCAGTTGCCACAGTTCCTTTATCATCAACTTTTCTTCAAAAGAAGAAAATCATTTTCTTTTAAACTGTACAGTTTATTTTTTGTTCACCCCAAAAACTCAGTCTATTAAACTTCTGCACCAGCACCGGTGTGAGCAGTTTCAATTCATTCTCGGGTTTTCTAACAAGACGTTGACAGCTTGCCTTGAGAGCCTTTGACGTCCTTAAAATTAAGGCAATTAAGATTCAAGATAAACCTTACCTAAACATTTTTTTAAAAAAACCCAAAAAACAAAAAACCAAAAAACACTCTAGATTTAAAACAAGAAGAAAAAGAAAATGAGAGAAAAAGAGTAGCTTAATTTTTGAGGAAGACAATTGGTTTTCATCGCAACTTGCTCCCTCTTGACATCATCAGTTTTTCTGTTTTAAAAAAAAAAAAAATCTAGCTACGCCTCCAGGTAAATTCTGAATTCAAATGTTCGTCCAGATGAAATGTCAACCCAGCATTTTTCCTCTGGGCTTTTTCCTTTAGTTGAAAAAAAAAATATAGCAAAAATAAAATTGTCAGACTACATGACAGAACCATTTGCACAGCACATAAAAACACTGTTTTGTTTTCATTGGGAAAGGTAGAAAAAAAAAGCATTCATTTGACGCCTGTGCAAACTGGAAGCCAACTTCTTGTTCAGTGAAGTTTCTCCATTCAAGGCAAAGATTTCAGACCGACATTCTTCAGTCCTGTTTATTGTCTGTAAAAACAATTGAATTAAAGTGGTCATTAAGTCAAAATAACTTTGAAATAGGCTTCTCTCCTTTTTTTCCACCCAATTCACTTTAAAAGTAATCCAAGCTAAACTAACTTCGCAGCTGTTTAAATATGATACCACCAATAAGCTGAAAATAGTCAGGCAAAAATAGGGAATTCCTGCTTTGGGGACATTAACACATTCTAAGCAGATGAATTTATTCTTGTTAATGCTATGCTTAATAGGCAGACTAACTATACTGAAATGAAATGAATACATGTAAATCTTTCAAAAGTAATTCAATAAGAGGGTGAATATTTTCATAATAATTAGTGCTGCTATTTATTTTGGATACTAATAATGAAATGAAGGATAAAATTACAATAAAAGGATACATCCAATTTGCTAGAAAGAACACATTTTCTGATGGCAAGAACAATTAGACTGTGGAGCAGTCTGCTTAATGAGCCAGTTATGGCTAACTTAGTAGAAACATGCAAGATAATATGAATTAGAAAAATATATTTTTTGATCATACAGTGTTAAATCTTTCTAAATTTAGCACAGGGAATAAGCAAAACTATAGACCTTTTTCTTACGGAAGATAACTCTCATTTTCTGTCTTTGAGGTTTCATGTCATTTAAAGATATGTCACATCAAACTTATCTTAACAAGACCGTGAGATCTTTGGGGAGATGTAGAACCTATGTATAAATGCTGTTCCATGTCTAGGGCTATCAGTAAGGATCAGCTGTTTTTTTTCCTACAGTCCTCAAAACTTACATGGAAAAAATCCTTTTCTGACCAAAGCTCAACAAAAGAAAATCCAATATCTTTCCTTTTGCATGCATTAACACATTTGCCCTTGTAGTTTAAAATTAGTTTTTAAATTATGAGTTAAATTGTGAAGAATGTTGATGATCTAACATTTGCCACAGAACTTTTTGTCTGGGATGGCAAACCTAAAACTACAATTTTAAATTTTAAATTTACCAAAGGATTTTTTCCTTGCATGATGCCTGAAAAATAATACTTTGAATGTTAACAACAGATTTATGTGGAATGCAACAATTAACTATTTTCTTCAGGTTTTCTATGCATAATTTCCGGTAGGAGTATTCAAGTTGGATGCTCACCTTCTGAGGTTTTTCTGCCGCTCTGGGTAGAGTGGCTGGTGTCACCAAAGGGTCACAGCACATGCTCTCTAATCTAACCTGGCATTGATTTTGCCCACAAAAGGCTCCAGAAAAACATAATTCTTTCCGTATTTAAAATCAGAGTAGGTCGTCCAGCAGACTTTTGCTTGGAGGTAAGAGTGCATACTTTTCTCGGGCAAGGATATCCATTGATCTCCATTTCATTGGTTTCACACTTTTATGTGCAAAATTAAATATTTACAAGGAAAAAAAAGGAGTAAGGTCTAAAACAATTAAGGTGATTTCCTCATAAAGTAGATTCCTCTGCTCAGAAATCAAGGCCTATTCTACCTGCACAATAGTTAGCCAGGTTTTCAACATGAAGTTACCATTTCTGAACATCTTTGGGTGGGATCCTCAAGTACAGAACTCAGCATATTAAATAAAAGAACATGTATGCTGATTAAAAAAGTGGAACCTAAATTTTAAGTTTTGTGGTTTATTTCTACTTACAAAGAGAGTACAGAGTCCTTATACCACCCAGTTCATTCTTAGTACATTGTCTCTCCTTCGTTGCCTGCAATTTCATGATTGTTGCAAAGAAAATAAATATAAGGAAATATGCTGTTATAACTTTTCTCCTGACTGATCAGCTCCTATGAAATAATTTTATATTGTCCGCCTTTTCCTTTGCCTTTATCTAACAAAATCATTGTCCAGTCATGCTAATTATCTTCTCTTATCTTGCTTTGATAAGTGCTGTTGTACATTGGGCATGATGTTTGTTATTAATAAATGTGCCCTTCAAAAAGCTAAGTGATAAAATTATATTTTAATTATAAAACAACTTCACTTGGTTTTATATTACAGGTTACTGAAATATTTTTGTCAGAAGTTATCTTGTGTATTTTGTGTGTATTTTGCTTGTTTCTACAGCTTCCCACACTGCATTTATGCCTGCAACTGGCAGACATAAATAGAGGGCCCATTTCATAAAAAAAATACTGAAATAAGTATAATAAAAAAATCTGTAGTGGAGCTGACTGTGTGATTAAAAAAGGAAGACATTTCCCTGAATATAAATGCAAGTGCCATTAGAAGTATATCCATCATTGCAAAAAGGCTGTAGATGACAAGGAAAGATGAGGGATCTCATTCTCAGGAAATTCACCACACTGGCAAGAAACACAGCACCCATTTCAATAAAGAATTGCAATGCAGTTTCCTCTTATGCGGAAAAATGCCAGAATCTGCTGCTTACAGCTACCTTATGAGGCCTTCTAAAACTAATTCCTTCTGCTTTAAGGCTTAAGCAAAAGGGAACAGAGACACAGGAATGGCCAGATCCAAACGCCACGGAACACAGTCATCAAAGCAAGCCAATAGGATGATACAAACACATATTTCTCTCTTTGCTCATTGTATTCTATAAGTATTTTGCAATCATTTATTTACAGGTGCTAGAAAGACTGTTGGCTAGAAAGATACACATGGGCAGAGTGTGTCTCCAATTAGGTACATCAACAAAAAGCTTGTGATTTGATTGCTCTTGTAATATGTACACACAGACAGATATAGGCATGACAAAAGAAATAGCAGTCTTCTGTTTTATGGTGGTCAAAAAGGGAGTGCGTGTGATCTGAAACCATTTGCTACTCATACGATAGACAAATAAATGTATCTTGCACTTCCAGAGCTCAAAAATGAAGTAAAGTAACTGACAGAATGGTATAATTCTAATCTTTCCTATACCAGCTCATATCTGATGCCTCTATAAGTACCAAGTCATGATGCATTGACTGACATCTAACATATTTCTTGTCTGGCTATTTGTCTTTCTTGCCCAAGAAAAAACATGTAATTCTCTTTTCACACTGACGCTGGTGTTCAATATACACGTATTAATAAAGGACTCCATTTGTGCCTCTTCCTAGAATCTGTCCAACACTGATCAGTCCCAGTGAGTATCCTGTCACTAAGTAACCTTCCCTTCGTGAGGACTGGTTTTACTCTAGCAAAGAAAAACTGTGTTTGAGGATTATTCTGAAGATGAAGGGACTCTTTAAGAGTTCTAAATCCAGCTGTCAGTGTATAAATTTTGAACTTTCCAAGGTATTCCGTGGGAAGTAAATAAAAGGAGCAGAGAAATGGAGACAGACTAAGCAGCGCTTCTCCCCACCTCTTTCCTACCCATTCTTCTTCCATTTCCAGTTCCTGCCCACTCAATGTCTGCAAGGCACCAATTTTGCACAATCACAAATACCAACTTGAGGTAATTTATACTGCTTCATTAACTACGCTTTCAGAAAGAAAGCTTTACATGTGCCAATGTGTTCTGTGCCAATATTTTCACCATTGCAAATTTAAGCCCTTTTTAACCTCTGATGCCGGATGCCGCTTTAGCCCAGTGTGATGATTGTTAACGCAGTTGTTGAGATCCTTCTGAGTCCAGAAAAGCAGCAGATACTCAGAGAGCATATCATTGTAGGCAGGAACTCAAGCACATTTTGCCAAGGTGAGGCCATCAGCCAAAACCTTTTGCTAATTACACTGCCATACATCCAGAATTCGTCTGAACTTAATGAAGCTATTCAGAATTGCTGAAACAGGGAGTCGAATTTGGCCTGCTATAATCAAGAATCAAAACCTTTTGGCTACAAAGTGTATGTGTACTTACTTAGACTGTTGGTAAGAATACGCAGGCGCATGTTCACTGGATGTTTCCACTGTCATCTGTTGCTGTTGACCACTGGCTTCCTGTGATGAAGATGCTACTGTCTGTGGAGAAGTATCAGCAACAACACCCTAGGGAATCAAATGAGGACATGAAAAACTTAGTAATTGTACTCACTGCAGTAAATTATGCAAAACAGCTCAGTGTCAGCTCACCATTCCTGTATTCCTCTAGAGAATGAGAGAGTTTGAGGTAGCAGAACCACATGCTAACACAACAAACTCCATCATTAGTTTTAGAGAACTAATTCAGTAACAAAAAGCTTTCTCAGCATACCAGTAGTATTTTGCTCTCACAGGTTGCAGTGGAAAACACCTCCACCTTTGAGGGCAGTTCCCTGTCTATTCAAAGCCAGAGGTAAAACTTCTGACTTTGGTAGATTCTGGGTTTTACTTCTTGTCTTTTTCACAACATATGTATGGTTCTTCCAGTTTTCACCTACCTACCTCAATTCACAGTTAGTTCACATTTATTTTGTTTGACTTAAAATGCAATAAAGGAAGAATCTAGGCCTCCTGCTCTCCACTTTCCTACACATCCAACAGAAATTCAGCCACCTTAGAAAAATACTGCCCTTCTCTCCGCATTGCTTTTATGCATGTTCCCTTCAAAATAAATTTGCTTTACGCTAAAGATATTTATCTGTTAAGTCAAAGCTCCAATGAAGTTTTGTTTTATTTATATGTTTGCAAAAGGTAACTAAGTAAACACACAAAGGATTATATGTATGAACTTAACATTATGCATAATTTCTTATCCTGTTTAGACAGTCTGTATAATACTTGGTTTAAGTTTTTTTGTACCCTTTCAAAGTAAGCTACATTTTCTCTTTTACTCTCATGCTTGGTGTGTTGGTCACACGTATAGCAGGTCTCTTCAGGGAACATGCTTTATTACTCTATTGCACACAGCAGAGCCAGAAGAGGGAGCACAAAGCACTTGCTTTGTTTTTATTTGAGTCCTGTGTAAACAACAGGTAGTTTATTTTAAAACATCTGTTAAAATATCAGTTTCATTTTTCAGAAATTCTTCATATCTACTGCTTAACAGACTGTCAGTATTATCTTTTTCTGTCTACTTCCTTGTCTTTATCCTTCTGTTTGTGTCCATCTCATCTTGAGATTGTAAGCTCTCTGGCGCAGAGATTGTATTTTTTGGTCTCTGCTTGAGCAGCATCCAGCATGGTAGGGTCCTGGTTCATGATGCTACATGAATACAGATAAACATTAACAATAATCATCATCACTGGCTTAGTGCAAAACAGGGTATATATTCAAATAATATTTGGATTGTTACAGTAGATAGTTACCACACCATGTTACTTTAGAAGGCACGAATATGCCAGCAGGTGATGGGGAGGAGAGCTCAGGAAGAATTAATTTAAACTCTCATTTGCATAGGTCAGCATGGTGTGCAGCCAATACTGTTGTATGAACCACTCTCCATCCCACCATCTCCTTTTAATTCATATTTGTATCTGCCCAGTTTAATACTTAAGAATATCATTTGAAAAGAGGTGCCCATGGTGCATTTATAAACAAAAGAGGTTTAGGGCAAAATTATATTGAGATAAAAAAGACTGAAACATGATCAGATTAGTATGACACAACAGTAGTAGCCTTTCCTGTGGGACATTATTTGAGAATAATTGCAAAGAACCAGGAGAAAACAGGATAAGCCCACTTGACTGTTGGTGGAACCATGTCAGCAGTACCACTAACTCAGTATCCTCACAGCACAGAGTAGTAATAGCACAAAATCCAGAGTCCACACACTCGAAGACAGAAGCACAGAGACCCTGGCACTCCTTGCCTTACCCCAGAGTAGGGCAGAAGTTGTTAATAAAAGAGGGTAGCGCCAAAGAGAAGCACACAGGGAAGAGGATGCCAAGGTTCCCTCCTCTTGCTGTGCTCAGTTGCCCTTATGAAGATTCACAGAAGTGGAGGCCAAGCTGACGCTCTCCCGGCAGCTTGTGGTCTACAGGGTTGAGTAAATACTTACTCATTAGACTGTCATCAGCATGACTCAGCCCCAAGGAGGGAGGGAGCGAATCCTTCCTCAAGGATGAAAAGCACTCAGTCAGTGCAGCATCCTCCACGTCTGTATATACAAGAGGAAGGTTTCCATTGCTCAATCACTTTTTCTGGTGGCTAAATGTTTCAGCAATTACCTATGCTTGCTAAGGACCGCATCAAACCCTCTTGCAATCTTCTCTTCTTGAAATCTCTTTTGGTTTCGTGGTTTGCCTGCTGGGTTTGTTTTCCTGTCTCTTCCCATCTCCCTCCCAAGTACATGGGGAAAAAATAGTCATAATCACTGATGTTTTACTCCACGTCCTGCTGTACAACAAAACAAATGCAAAACAAGAGCCCTTGCAAATAATTAAAAAAAAATAAAATAAAAAGAGGGGCTAGAAAAGAGAAGGAAAGGAAAAGAAAAGAAAGAAAAGAAAAGAGGAAGAAACGTACAGTCCTAATTTTAAAAGCTGGGAGCTTTCAGCCACCTCCATAAAGAAACTTTAGGCCCCTTTCAAACCATAGGTGCAAGAAAGAATAATACATAGGAGTTCTACTACCCCTTCACTCTACTTTCATGGATGGAGATAAACTTACTTCAATAGGGACAGCTGTTGGAGGCACAGGAGTATACTGGGGAATGTAGGTCCCTTGCATAGGTGCAGCAGCAGTCATGTACTAGAACAAATCAAAAGCACATGAACAATAGAAAACCACAATCAAGATGCATTAAACCATATGTTAGAAGCATGATACTGTTTCCATTTCCATTTCTGAGTCTTTTAGCTAGTGTATAGCATGTTATTTCTTTTAATTAAGGATTTTAGGCAATGGCAGGACTCACAGCTACTAAAAACCATAATCTTGAACTTCAAAGCCAGGTCATATCTGAATATAGGCAATAGTAAACATCTTACTGATGGAGTTAGATTGTTCACAGGTTCTCTAAAACTAAGAGACTACTATTTGTACTTACAAAAAATCCAGCGGATACATGACAGCAGTCATGTCTAAACAATTTTTTGCAGTCTAATTGACCTTACCTAATGACACCTACAAAATATGAAGCATGAAATTTGAGAGGTTTATTCCAGTCTATATTTAATTCTATCAGTAACAGCAGTTGAGTTAACAGGGATACAAAGCTTCAGGAAGGTGAAGTTTAAGTCAGGAGAAACAAAGGAGGAAGATCTATCTGGAGTTTCTCCTTTTGTACACAGATATTTTAGCTAAATTCTTACAGCTTGTTCTTAATATCCAGGGATCCTTTCTATGCATTCTGAAACTTCTGCAAATTATCATATAACACTTTGTATTAGCTTCTCTGAAATACTCTCTCCCAAGTACTACCTGACAATCCTTTTTAAAATTCATGTATGCATGTGAATTTTGTCATTGTCATGACACTAATCTTTTTATATACAGGCTTCTTAAAAAGCTCTTGAACTGAATACAACAGCGATTGTTCAGATTTTCAAATAAAGAATCAATATTAAGTCCTCAGATCTATATGTACCGTTCTTTCTACAATCCAGTCCTAACTACATGTCTTCACCGACAAGAATCTCAGAATGTGCCCAATCCCCCAAATGACTGTATGACACTTCCACTACATGTTATCTTCAAAGACACACCAAAGATCTGAATCAGCCCAGAATGTATTAGATGAATTTTAAAATGAGTTAAATATAGCTTTGCTTCCTGGCAGAGCTAGGAAGTGCTTGCTAGATTTTATTTCGCTGTTTGTAGTAAAATTTACATTTAAAGCACTCTCTCACCTCAATTCTAAACTAACTGGATGGTTTGATATGCCTGTCACAAACATGCACTACGAAACTGCAAGGTGGGGTGCAGACTGCAGCAATGCTAGAGAAAGGCCTTAGGGAATGACAACAGCATATTTAAGAATCTCACAGCTAAGTCCTGAAGTCTTCTTTCAAGTAGAAAAAAAATAAAAATTATTTAAGTTAAATTGTTTTCTATTTAAAAAAAATCAGCGAGGATCATACATGACATAGAATTTATACTTGCAATATGAGCAGCATATGGTGTTGAAAACCATTACAATATTTTGCCAGATTTCACAGTGTTTTCCATAACTTGAGCAAAGTGATGGGAGTGTCTCCAGTGTCTGTGTGCCTGTATCAGGCCATGTTTTTCTTCAGATTTTTAAATTGTCCTTCAGAAAGAGTATTGAATTCAATAGTGTTTTTTATGAAGGCTAACCCACCAAAATACATTAGGCCAACTATCCTATTGTACTCAGTAAAGTTGGGTTATTCTCCTGCCTTACAGATTAAGAGTTAATGAGAATGTTACAGCAGGGTGTTCCAGGGCTGCTTCCGCTCCATTCATTCTGCTTTGTAATGTTGCCGTCACATGTTGGGAAGACATCTGCTGTGTAGCATTGTTCTAAATGTGTCAATATTTAACAGTAACCTGAAGCACTCATTCTTACAGTTCTGCAAAGACCTGTTAGGGTTTTAAACATCTATGCAGGCTAGCTTCACTCGGACAAATATACATAGATTTTAATTAAAAGTGTTAATTTAAATAATGAAGTGCCCTCATTTAATTTGGACTTCCTCTGAGTTGAACCTAGCAGAAGATCAATGCTCAGACTCATAAGATGCCATTGTCTGCCATTCTCTTATCTCACACACAAAACCAAACAAGTTTTAATACACAAATATCAAATTATTCAACTGCTTTTTAATTCACACCAGTCCACTTTTTGCAAAATCCTTTGGCACTGAGTTCTGCAGCACAGCAATTGAAACTGTCTGGGAATTAACTGATGTCTTTGCTGACTCTGAAAACACTGCTCTCAGTACTTGTGCAGTTTCTTACTCTATCGTTATTTTTTTCCTCTTGAGGCAGATCCTGATCTTACTTGCCAGACTACTTCATGTAGCTTCCTTCACTGCTAGACAATCTCTAGGGAAAACTGCACTGCTGACTTGAGTGTCACTGGTGGCTCTGGCCAAACTCTGCTTTCCAGACACTCACACGTCCCCACACTCTCCCAGTTTAATTTTTTGCAGGAATTTTAACTGAATTCAACCAAATAGCAAGTGATTTAAAGTTCTGGAGACCAAAGCCATCTAGTTGCTTGCCAGACTCCCTCCTGAAGAACTGTAGGAAAGTGACTTCTCCCCTGTACATAACATTCTGCTTGTCTGCTCTAATGGTGGTTCAATTTCTTGTATAAATCCTTCAGAGTTCTATAATTAAAAAAATATGTTTTGAGCCAAATTAGTTCCACCAATGGCATACAGTATTTGTGGTAAAGAATCTAATCCTAGTAAAAGTTAGCCAAGGCTCATTCCTACAGAGTATTTCTGCTTAACAACTGTGGCCCTTGACCACACAGCAGCAGTGGTCATTGGTGGAATGTCCAAACATATTTACCTTCTTTATCTTTATGACTATAAATATACCCTCATCATTTCAAGAAAGAGTAATTGGGTCAACAATTAAACATGTTACTGGGGCTTGGAACTGATTCTCAGTCTCCAGGGTCTCACTTAAGGATCCATTGAGGCTTCTCTAAAAATCTTTACCAAGCTATAAAAAAAACCTATGGCTTAGTTCTCAGAGACACACAATTGGTCTTTAGTATCCCTCACATGCAGCAGAGGGAGTCCCCTCTGAGACCACATGAATTTGGGAGTGTCTGCCCTGCTGCATCTGTATTTATCACAGGAAGCCTAGCGCTGAGAAGCTGCTTTAGTTTAGTTTCTATAATGAAAGAGGAAACATTATTTTTTGTGATAACTGACATTAGCTCAATCAAGTTTACTCGTATTTCTTTTCTTTGTGAACTACATAATCCTAATTCTCTGATCTCATAGGATAAATAAAGATTACATAGTCCTAAGGTACAATGTCAGTGTTGATACTTACATCACTGGGTTTGGATAATGCAAGAGTTGAATTCCTTGTCACGAATATTCACTGTTGGTTGTTTAGCAGAAATCTTCCTGAACACTGCTGTTCAGTAGCTTCCATACCCAGACACACTGAGCCCACTGAAATCTGTGTCTCTCCCTGGGTTGCCCAGATACTTTACCTAGTTATTCTATAAAGTAGTGTGCTCTGGATGTGTTGGAGTGAGTGGCACCATGTTGGGAGGTGGAAAAGAGCTTCAGAAAGAATTATGAGATTTAAAGAAAAGTTAAACATTTTATATCTACTCAGCTTAAGACCACCCAGGATGAAAATTCTGGTCTAAAGACATGCTTAGCTGAGGGACTCTGTTGTAATGCAGCTCCATTTTGATCGCAGTTCCTGTAGATGTACATAGTTTCCATATGGCTTCCCATCTACCTCAAGAAACTCATGTAACTTGGAAGTAAGCAGATGGCAAACAAAGAAGACATCTATGTCCGAAGACCATCACTGAGATTTATTTTCTCCATGAACCACACTCACTACAGTTCTTTATCCACACATATGTGTGAAAAAGAGACAGCATGACTCACATGCTTAGTTTAGCAGCAGCTGGTTAATTCCACTAAATATTAGTATTGCGAACACTGAAATGAGAGAATCTCAAAAAGCCAAATCTATTCTTTCTTTGTCATATGTTTCCATCAGGATTAAAGATTTTTGAGCTGTAATGTGATCGGTCATTCAACAAAGTATGTGCAAGGAATAAGAAAGCACAGTTCATTCTTCCACAACTGTACAGGCTTTCTGGATCTAAAATTAGAAGCTGGTTATTTCTGACAGAAAAATGAATGGTGACTCTACATGCACAGCTGATGGATCTGGAGGGTGTAAGTGAGATTTTTTTTGGCACTTTGATCCTTTGAAAGCTGGTAATTTCAACTACAGAAAAAGAATACATTGCTGGTGGCAACATTCTCTTAATTTGCTTGTAAACTATTATTTTCTTCATACGGTACACAGAATGCATGTTCTGAGCACTGAAGATGTACAGTATTATAATATAATTCATGCTTCATGATGCCTGACTGTTTAATTCAGACTGCACTTATCAGGGTACCCATTTACCCTATATGCTACATTAACAATTCTACTCACACCTTGTCCAATGAGATTTTTGGTTTTTACCATTTTGAAACTACTTAAATGTGTGAAAAAATATACAGCTAGCAAATAAGAGAGTATTAGTGTATACTTACAACTCTACTTTCAGATATTACCCTCAGTGACTACAAAGAGTTAAATGAAAGGAGGTAAAGAATGAGGAGGTGGGTTGAAAGGGAAAAAATGAAACTTTGAGAAGGATCATGTTTAATTCAGAGAGCAACACCAGTTCTTAGAGATCAGCAAACAGTAGGGTATCCCAGCCTGGATCCAGCAAGACTGCTGTTAAGCCTGCAGCAAACACTAAACCCATAAAGGTGACAAGCATTGGGAAATAAAAACCGGGAGGATGGCAGCTGCCTGCACCAGGCTGAGTGAGGGAGCGTGCTGCAGTAGGATAATATGGTTTAACCACCAAAGGTGGAGCTGAGTAACCTGCAGGGAATTTACAGGAGCTTTTACATTGAGAACATGGCACAGGTAATGTCCATTTATTCATTTGCCCTAGTAAGCCCCTAGCAAGCCTTTCTCAGGCCCAGATTAATGCAGAGTCAGGTAACTGCCTAACAGCTGAGGTACATAGCAAACACCCCACACACCAGCTATTAGTTACTGAATTTCAA